ACTGGCGCTTGAATGACTCCATCGAGGGTTGAAGAGTGGCGAAGGCTCGCTCTCGCCCTCCTCATCCTCTCTCCCTTCCCGACATCGAGGAGACTCCATCTCCTCTCCGTCCTCCTCTGGTCAGCCCCAGAGCCATCTATCGTCAGACGCCGACAAACTGCACTAAGCGCACGCGTTGACTGAGGATAGGCAATAACGCCGAAGACACGCAATGCTAACGGTCTATGTTCGATCGAGAAGGCTGATACGAACATCTGAGATAACCACGCTACTACATTTGGGTCAGCACGCGTAAAGAAGCCGTGGGTGACTTTTGAATGTTTTTGTTTTTGTTTTAGCCGGCGAAGGGAGACTCCGGTTCGGAGCGGTCATTTTTCGCCGAGATTCTCCGTGACCGGCATCACCAACTGGGTAAACAACAGGTCGAACAAGCAGGACAGCACGACTGCCCATCAGGTGGCATCACCTTCGCTCTGCCAGACGGCGCTGCCGTCGCCCCCTATGCCAGAGAAGCCGGCTCGTCGCAGTGGACATCGCAAACAAGGGTCTTGCGATTCCGGCATAGTCGACCAAGAACTTCGCGGACAAGCTTGAAGCTTGAAGTGATACCAGACATTGAAATGCGCGCGCGCGTGTGCATGTCTGAGTGTGCGTGTGTACACATATGTGTTGTGGTGCGTGTGTGTGTGTGTGTGTGTGTGTGTTGTGTGTGTGTGTGTGTGTGTGTGTGTGATGTGTGTGTGCGCGTGTGTGCGTGTGTGTGTTGTCTGTGTGTGTTGTGTGTGTGTGTGTGCGTGTGTGTGTGTGTATTCTGTGATGGCATTGCTAGCAATGATGACAGCACTTTGGTGTGAATTATGCATACGCGATATGAGGAACGCAACAGAAGCACACAAATCTAAGCTCATGTTCTGAAGTGATATGTGCTCGTGAAGCGGTTGGTTATCTTAATCGTTGCTCTGCAAAGGCCCGATCAATGGGTGCAAAATGGAAACATGATCTCATTCCTTCAAGTTTTGCTCCCACTTGATGCACGCTTCGCAAAACAAATGTGTGTGACTGGTTTCTCTCCTGCGCTAGCTGTCAGTTTCTACACTCGTTACAACACCACAGCCATTCCTTAAGACTTTACATGACAATGCCAGAGACCTTAAAGCTGTTATGCTTGACCCGCATTAGCGATTTTGGGGTGATTTCTTCATTTTTCTCCCTAGCATATCGGGTGCAGAACGGGCAGTGGAGTTTGCGCCCCCTATGGTTTCCAAGCATTATTAAAGCGGTGCGTTTTCGGAACATGTTTTAGGAGTTTGGCACTGCTTGTCATCGCAAAATGTGTAAACGACGTCGAAAGAAGTGTGACATGCTTGTGCGAGTGTGAAATATGGTACCGAGTGAGGTTTTCAGGTAGTTAAAAATAATTTTTCAAGCAGTTACAGAATGTCAGCGTGGGAAAATTGTATTAATTGCATTGACAGCGCTGTAAAGTCTCAATGCTGCCTGATTGCTGACGTTGCGCTGCATCTGGATGAACTGAGAAAGTGTTCATATGTAAGTCACTGTGAACCACGGTGAATAAACTGAAAGCTTACTGTAGCTTCTTGTCTTCCCCGGCGTAAAATATTCATGCTGGCATACCACCGCAGTAGTATATTGTGCTATCGCAACGGCAAGTTGCGCATTCGAAAAGCAAAAGCGGCAATACAAGCTTGAAATGTTCTGTGGCGTAAGGTTGTAAGGACTGATGGGCGACAGCCGATCACCGAGAACATGAAGATTTCGCTCCTACGACTTCAGTATCGGGTGGAGCAAACACTTCTCAGAGGACACTCGGTACTATTACACATCTGCTTCTACGTCCTCAGATCGGGTGGAGCAAACACTTCTCAGGGACACTCGGTACTATTACACATCTGCTCCTACGTCCTCAGATCGGGTGGAGCAAACACTTCTCAGGGACACTGCGGTACTATTACACATTTGCTCCTACGTCCTCAGATCGGGTGGAGCAAACACTTCTCAGGGACACTCGGTACTATTACACAATTATTTTCAATGTACAGTGACTGGATTCAAAGACACAGACCAAATGGGTAACATTATTTCACATTCGCCTTAGCCCCTATGTCGCCGCGAAAAATATCGTGAGAAAATGTGTTCGTCTCTAGCTTCAAAACGGTCACAGAATCTGAATCCGTCTGCCCAATGGCTCACGAGAAGCGCCATTCTTAGCACCCGGATCACAAATCTACCGAACTTCTGGTGTCATACTGTATGAACTCATGTACTGGACCCCAGTTTTTCGGCGTCGACTTAATCTTCGTTAGCAATGGTATCTGAACCACTCGACAAAGGCGGTTACAACCAATGCAGCACATGGACGTACCACTTTTCTGTCGAGCCGGTGAACAATATTGTTGTTCCGACAAATTCTAAGTCCGCCTACACTACCACTACAGTTCGGCCATGGAGCGTAACGAGTTGAGTATCAAAGCCGTACAAAGAAACATGGGCCAAAGGAGTCGCCGGGTCGGGCGGGATGGTTCATGAAGGCACCATTATTTGTCCATGTAATCAAATTGCTCATTCAGTTTCCGAAACGATTCCTCGATGCTCTCACAGTTTGACCCCCTTTGTGTTGAGCACAGTTCGGCCACAGGTCAAGAGTACGCATTGCAGGCAGGGGTGTAACATCGATGAGACAGACCTCGGCCGTTATACCAGGCACTCGTGCGGCCGAGCTGCGAACGGGCAGCAGACCAACCAGCTCCTCGGCTGCCAGCACCGCTGTAACATGACATTCTGGCCGCCGTAGCCGCCTGATATCGGTGTGCTACACTGTGAGGTGTTCCAATATGGGAGTCACCAAATGTGACGGGGCTGAGTTTGTGATCACAGAGAGCATTCTTCATTTGTATGAGGTTTTGAACTGAAATAACCATCTCGAATGTCTTCGATGCAGTTCACAAGCCATAACCTTCTTAAGACCTAAGCCCCTCTAGTTTTTGAGCTACACGTCTGCGAATATGTGCAGACTACATATTTTCGGGGAGACTGTTTCAATGACACCCATGCATCCATAACTCTATAAAAGCGTCATTTAAATCCTGCCATTTCATTAGCCCTGTGGCAATCAAGGCCAAGAAATACAGTTGTCTAGTCGTCCATATCTGGCGTTCATGAGCAAAATTTTCAGATAGAACGGCCGTCAATTGGTGCTCAATCATAGTGTTTTCTAGAGCAGTCTTTTTACTGAAAAATATACAATAGTTATAAGTGAGTTTATTTCATCATAGCTGATGTTTGCTCAATATCTTCACATGTAAAACTTCCTTTTAACCTCTTGACAATGCTGGGTGATAATCAGGCAGCGCTGCTCATGGGTAATGTCCGTCATCCTGAGCTCCAATCTCCATGACCGGCGCATTATAACCAGTCGCTACCAGCCCACTCCCTGATCTCTGTCGTCATTAAGAATCGGCTGCCGGTGCCGAAATCCTGAGCCAAACAATGACTGGTGTTCACGTCGGGGCAAGCTGACAAAACGAGCTCAGCCAGGACGGGATGGGAGCTATGGGCTAGCGAGACCATATGCCCATCAGGTAATTGTCCGGGGCCGCAGCTGCATCCTCCGATGCCATATTCGCCAGGTTTCGCCATG